GACAAGCTAGGAAGTGTTTGTTAAATCTTTAACCCATATATCCGATCTCTGCTCGACGGAGCGGAGAGAGAGGGTAGAGACACTTCAGAAAGTAAAAGTGGCAAAACTGAAAGCAGGATGTAATTTTACTGTAAATCTCTTTAGAGTGCTTTGTCGCGTACACGTGGGGGGGGTTCTAGAGAACGCATGGTGGACCGATTCAGCGACAGACCGTTGGTAAACTTGATAAGAACGAATAGAAAGGAGGAAGTATCGTTAGTCAGCTCCCGGCTAATTGAAGGACGGCTGGAGGGAAGTAAGGATGGATGGATGGAAGGAAGGAAGGAAGGAAGGAAGGAGAAAGAGAACGAAAGAAAGAAAGAAAAAGAGAGGAAGAAAGAAAACAAAAAAGAATCCACACACACCAAACAATAAAACATAACTGTATAATTGATAAGAAACTGTGTCAGCTCCTCATTGCACACTGTTATAGAGTTCTCTATACCTCATGGACTAACTTGTTTAAAAGACCCAAATAAGTTTTTATGCAGCGTTTAAATGTTCTTGAGTCTTGCCTAGAAGCCACACCCTATGCTTGAATATTTCTGGTAGTGAGTCTGAAGAATAAACACAAAATCCAGTAGCTAGACAACTTATTTATGAGGGATAGACACAGTTAATACGAATATGTGAAGATGAAATGCATGCTCTTTTAGGAAGGGTTAATTTAATAAATACCAGGCAGCATAATCCACGCATATACTCAATTATCAAGTACTGTAATTCCTTATCAAATATCTCATTTTAATGTTTAGAATTCAGTTAGATTCAAATGACCAAAATATTTATATATGCGTGTACTTGGTACCACAACAGAACTTTGGAGACAGGGCTATGCTTTTAAGGTAAGGGGTAAAAGATGAATTTGCATAAAGGACAGCTGTGATGGACCTGATACAATAAATTTCTTATTATCTGGCTTGGTTGGAAAATGAGGTTAATCACATATTCTAGCTTATAGGGAGTTACCATAGAGACCATGCACATTTTATCCATTTCCAAGAAAAAAAGAAAGATAATATACATTCAACACTGAAACTACACAGACTGTAATTTAATTTCCCTCTGATGAGTCAGATGCACTTGATGACCTCGCAGTGTCTCAGAGTAATCATTGTGAACATCATCAATTACCTATGTACCGTACTTATACAGAAGTACTAGTTAATGGAGTGCTGCCATTAACAGAACCCTGAATAATATGAATATTTTCTGGACTTAAAAGTACATATAGGTTCAAATTGCTGCAAGTTCAATAAAATAACCTATTGCATTTATAGATAAAGAGATCTGATCAACATAATGACAGTCTTTATGGAGTTATAGAGAGACCAGGAAGATCCACTTAGTTGTAAACTAGATAGAAAATTTTATTTTGCTTGTATATAAGTAGAAACATTGCAAAATCCTAATCAAAAGAAATCAAAATCATTTTTAAGGAACTATTCTTATTCTCTGGTTAGAAAGGATATCTAAAAAAAAATAGTACAACCTTTCCCCTCCCTTAAATTTCACCAGCTTTTTACAAACATATTCAAGTTCCCCTACTCATCCCCAATAGTTCTCTATTCTAAAATTTGATATTATTGTTATATTGTCAATAGAAGCATCTCCCAAACTGTCTTCTTTAAAGAGTTCCATCTTCTGACCTTTCCCCATGGAGTCTTAAGCATATCAAGACATTAAAGGCTCTGAGAACTCTTCTGATTTAAAAAACTAAACACAAATCTCTCCCTCAGGTGTATTTGATCATTTCGGTTTTTAGAATATATAAACACTAGAGGCCCGTTGCACAAAAATTTGTGCACTCAGGGGGGGTCCCTCAGCCCAGCCTATGCCCTCTTGTAGTCTGGGACCCCTCGGGGGATAACCACCTGCTGGCTTATCCACAGGAGGCATGGATGGCGGCTGGGCGGGCGACGGCTCGTGCTGCCCTGGGTCGCACACAGGAGGCCCAGATGGCGGCGGGGCGGGCGGCGGCTCGCACCGTCCCACCCCGCCTGCAGTATGCAAATTTAACGGCCATCTTTGTTGGGTTAATTTGCATATTCTTCTGATTGGCTGATGGGCGTAGTGAAGGTATGGTTAATTAGCATCTTTGTCTTTTATTAATGTAGATTTTACTAGCACTCTTGGGTAAAGAATATAAGAAATGGTAGCCTTAAAGAATTCTTTTCATTTTGAAAATGAGTGATAAGGCTGTCATAATTTTCACCTAAAAAAATGCAGGAGAGTTTGTTAAATTGTACACTATCACAATATTACTAAAATTTTCTCATTAGTATCTAATCCTAGTAAAGTGGGTTCTGTGATGACTCACCAACCTACAGATAACACAGAAATCCATCCCCTCCATTCAGTACAACCCAACTTTGAAAGACTCTACTATTTACATTCCTGATAGAATATTAACGTTTCCAAAACTCAAACTTTTAAATCACACGATTTTCCCCACTGTTAACAGGACGTGAGTCAGTTGTTCATGCACACGTGCAGATACACACCTTGGCCTATTCAACACTAAGTAAATGATCATAGAAGAATTCAGAAAAATACAATACTTTTAGATTTATAAAGTATTTTTGGACAAATGTATTCAGTCTGACTGTCTATACCACTCATAGTAATTACTATTTAATCTTTAAGTTATCCAATGCAGTTTATGTGGTTACAAAATAACCATCACAATGGGAAAATGTCTGCATGCAGCACCATTCTCCAGATAAATCTTTAACCAGTAAGAAGTTACTTTCATATCATATCCTAAGGTTTATGTATATGTGTGGAAGGAGAACTTTTCTGTATATCCATTCTATTTACAAAAAAAAAAGAAGAAGAAGAAGAAAAAGAGAAGGACCTCAAAATCAAACTTGTTACTTCCTTGGGGAAATTGAATTTAACCCTTTTTAACATATGGTTAAAAAAAGGGAAAAAAAAGCCACGTTCTTAAAAATAAATGACAGTTTTACCTACAATTCACTTATATCAAAATTGATCTAGGCATGTCACACGGTGCTCTAAAGAGCAACGGGGTAATTTCCTCACTCGTTCTACGCCATACCCATCTGTCCAGGCTTTCTGACCACAGTTCTAACACAACAGAGAAGGTTTGCACTAATACGCTGTGTTTTTAGCCAAAATTGGAACTACTTGTTCTGATATACAAGCAGATCACAAAAAAACAATTTAGATTAAATCAGTCTGTGATAACAACATTAAAGTAATAGGTTAACAGAACCAAATAATTCTAACAATAGCGCTAAAAAATAATTTGTCATGCTTTAGGATATGCCTCGCTTTTCACAATTAACTCATCTCTGAACAAACTTAATGTTAGTTTATTAGCCGTGTCAATTTCTTAAATATTAAGGTAAATGTCACCTTGTTCGGATTATTCCTCTTGAAGAAAAAAGAAAGCATTCCCTGAAAGTAATTCTATTAATCTGGGTCAGCACAGTGGGGCTGGGATCTACACTATCCATGACCTTTGGTATTTTCTCTTTGTTACAAACAAACAAACCAACAAACAAATGCTCCAATAATGAAAAGCTCTGGTCTTTACAGACATTAACTAGACACATTCATGCATATGAATAATCACTGTGCCAAGTGGATACTTACTGCTGTGTTTGCATCAATGGCATGTTAGTGCTCTCATAGCTGTCTGCGTGGAGAGGAGGTATGATTTCCCCTGTCACAGGGTGGAACACAGGAAGCGTTGACAGGGGCCAGGCTATCTCTCTATTCTTGGACATGTCACGAAGTTCTTTGGTAGATTTCTGAATAGCACTATGATGGACCAGTTGGATGCTAGGTCAAAAAGAAATAAAACAACATATATTTAACATCAGATATTATCTCAATGGGTCATCAATTTGAAAAAAAATTTTGATTTTTTTTTTACTTTTAAAAGAGGAGGACATTATTGCACTTTGGGCTTTCTACGAATTATCTCTGAAAAAGATACATTTCAGATATTTTTAACAGCAAAATTGAAAATTATATATTAATTTTTAATTAAATGTGTCTTTCATTAAACTAAGCTATAAAGCACTGTGTTAATGTTACAGCCCTAAGTAACAAGCTAGCAGTCTATTTAAGGTTAAACTATCTACAGTTAAGATTAAACTACCAGAGCTTTTATATTGTTGCTTCTGATGGGGCATCTATAAATACTCACAGAAATTTCATTTATGGTAGGTTATTACTGTAGATTCAGGAAAACGTGTATGAAAGGTCTTTTCATCTGTTGTCTGCTTTATAGGAATGCAGATTGGGAAATCACATAATACCAATGGCAAGTTAATATTCTGAATCTGAAATATTTTAGGTTTAGTTTTTATCTAAATAATCTTAGTTTTCAAAACCTTTTTTAAAATTTTTAGTTTCTACCCCTCCTAAATATCTCTATTTAGAAAGCAGCTTTCACATTTATGAAATAAACTATGAAAGATGATGAATGGGGAAAAAAAGCATGACACACATGTAAGAAGCATGATGAGCAACTGAGAAGTGAAAAAAAAATGATACAGAAAATAACAGGAAAGAAGACACTTACTCTGGTGTTTGCATGTTTCTCTTTTCCCTAGAAACAAAACAAAATTTATGAATTAAATAATAGCATTGATATTTGGAACATTAAGACTATATGCTCATGGGATCTTGCATGACGTGGAAATGCTGACACTGTTACTATTAAATGCCACCAGGCAGCATTTGCCACCAGGGTCATGAAGTTACTTGGATGAGTACACACACAAAGATGGAATACTGATGAGAAACATACAGAAACATGAAAAAAAAAAAAGGAGATTAGAATCAAGCTCTTGGAAATAAATTGTATGACATGATGAAATCAGGCTACATGTGAAAATGGAAGTTTGTTACTTGCTGCTTTGTTAATGCTTTTATCCTTGGCCTTGTTACCCTGACTTCCCAATAATCTCGGGAGATTATTTTAATTGGCACAGGTGTTCTGAAAGTACTAACTATTCATGAACTGAATACTCATTACTCAAATTATAGCCTTATTTTCATTAATTTACTCTTTACGTTTATATATATATATATGTATATATATTTAAACATTTAGATTGTCACCCTGTTTAATAATAGAACAATTTCAAGAAGAATGTTGACCATCATTCCTGATAAAACTAAGACGATTTAGTTAAAGTGCAATTACCATGGCAATAGATTCCTAAGTCTCTGATTATACAAAGGTGGTTTCTATAACCAAAATATGCAGCCTCCATTATTGTTGGGACTGTTTTTGCCAGCATGAATTTACATCTAGCCTTAATAATTTGTGAATAAAGTAATTATATCCCCTAATTTGATTTATTAGACTCCAAACTATTTTAATTCATTTTTAAAGGGATAAAGTACTATAGTTTGACTTGAACATAACTTCAATTCATTTATAAAGTGTTTTATGAATTAAATGAAACTTGGCTTTTAATGGAATCTTATATGTTGTTACCCTAGTAGGCTCTATAATTTTTTATTAGTCTTTAAAGTACTCACACGCCTTCCCGTTGGCAGCACATGATATAAGCAAGTATTAGAAAAAGGACCAATGCTACTGCCGAGGGCACAGCCAATGTAATTAGGAAATCCGTGTAATAGTCTCTGCTTTTCAAAGAATCGGAAGGGGGTTTGTACTCTCCACCATCAGGTAAAATCCCCTCTCCGCGAATCACTTCCTGAAAGGTGGACACTTGCTTTGTTTTATCAACCTGATACAAAAGAAGACAATTACAAGTCAAATTAATAGCTGCAAACATTATGAGATTTTAAGATCTAGACATACCAAACATTCTTTTGACAAATATCTACAAAGCAGTCTTTTCTAATTGCATTATCACCTTGAACTTGCAATTTTTTAGGGGAGCTGGGAAGAAGTAATGAATAAAAGTAATACATTGAAGGCTTTATGTTGGCCTACTTTCCATGTCCTTCTCATTAACTATACATACATAAATATATATATATACATACATACATACATACATATGCGTATATGTACTTGTGTCCATCACACTACTATGTAATTTTCTAATTTCCTAATGACAAACCTCTAGTGCAGATGTTAACAAACCATAAGCTTGCTGATAACCAGGTATGTGGGTATGGTTTCCATGGTTAGCAAAAGAGAAAAGAAACAAAATGAGAGGCAATTTCTCAATGATTACACCTTGATCTTTCTGGCATCCAGTTGACAGAAATAGCTTTTTGCAAAGGTAGTCTAAGGTACACGTAACCCACCCAACGCAATCGTTTTACTAAATTCTATCCCAGAATCAAAAAATGCACATTGGTGGTCTGTTCATTTACCTCCACATTAATGGGCCTGCTTTCACTGAGTCGCATTTAATTATGTCAAGGGCTTCTTTAAACCACTACAAACTAGCCATGTGAAATTTGTTACTACATTTGCTCCCCTCCCTGCCACAAAAAGGTTGGGAAGAATTATTTGTGGCATTTTTCAGTATCCTCTTCCAAAAAACTCCACTTGAAGAATTTTGTTAACAATACAGTGCTTGTAAAAACTTTATTTCCTGCCAAGGAATTCATGCTTTGCCTCCTTTCAGAGTGAGAATTAAATAACTGATGGATTTCCTTTTTTAATCCTAGACAGTAGCAGGCTCGTTGTCAAACTTGACCTTAGGCTTACTTTTAAAACAAAAATGTTTTTTTTAATTGATTTTAGAGAGAGAGGAAGGGAGAGGGATGGAGAGATAGAAATATCTATGAGAAAGAGACATGGATCGACTGCCTCTTGCACGCCCCTTACTGGAGGTCAACCCCGCAACCTGGGCATGTGCCCGTACCGGGAACGGAACCAGGGACCTCTTGGTTCATGGGATGACACTCAACCACGCCAGACTGGCCGAGCGAGGCTTACTTTTTGGGGGGTAAAATTTAGGCTAATTTTTCATTTCTTTTATATTTCATTTATTCTGCTTATTCATTGATTCTTTCAATTAAACCTCCTGAAGTCTTCTGTGGTAAGATGTAACACAACCTTTGTATTTAAAAAGTCTTACCACAAACATTAAAAGCTTCAAAGCACGTCACTTTTAAACCTTTAGAAATTAGATAATGTTCCTAAACATAAACCTTTTGCAGCACAGCACAAGGAAAATGGCCCTGTTAGAGCCCGCTTTCTGTCTACTGATTCTGGTTGGGGGCATGCACTTAAATTATGAATGCAGCCACTCCGTCTTCCGTACCCTTGTATGATGAGCACCATGACTGAAATACGGGGCTTTGTAAATTCAACACTTATCTATAACACACAAACCACACCATCCTTGATTTAAGCAGGCAGAGAAAGAACGTCACTTTCCTAAGACACAAGCGACATAAAAAGAAGAGGCCCTGGCCAAGGGCCCCAGGTGTAAGTGCTACAACGTAAGATGTTCTCCCCTCCTGGATCCAGGAAAGTTGCCTGTATTTGGTTCTCTAAGACACGCAGTGACAGTGTTTATGTGCCAATAACTTTGTTCAGATGTCAACTTCAAATTCAGTCACCACTGAGCACCAAGAGTTGACAGAAGTTAAATCTAAAGGTCACTAAAGAAGCCAAACAACTTTTCCTTTTCCAAAGAAGCAGGATCAAAAAAATATAAATTTTATATAAGACATTCTATATATGTATCTTACATATATATGAAACCATACCCACATTTTCCTAACTCTTTTAGTGTGCTCACTTAAGAAGTTGTTTAGAAAGAAGTATTTTATATTTATGGGGCTGTGGGTAAAATTCTAACTTTCCTCACTTGGAATTGTTTTCCTTATCCCTTGAACTTCCCCTATAATGTGAGTTTCTAGGACACTGAATTATAGCACAATATTGCTTTCTTTTCAGACTTATTCTTGTACTCTGATCTCTCCTTCCAGACTGGGGTCGTGGGGGCATAGTTGAGACTTTCTACACATGCCACACTGACTCCATAATTTATCCTGATGTAGCAGCCACCTGCATGTCCAGGGTGAGCATTTAGACCACCTGCCAAGCTAATCCAGCCCAGCAACTAATCAAGGGTAGACTGAGAACAAAAGTGGAGATACTTTCCGAAATGGATACGTTGTCAATGAGCTTGCCAACTACTTCAAGGCAGGAGAAGGCAATTTTGGTTAACAAAGTAAACCCAGGATTTGTTCCTAAAAGCAATTCAGGTTTTAGTCAAATGTTATCTTCCTGGCGAATCACTTCTAATTACATTTGCAAAACCCAAAACAGCATTAAAACTCACCAGCGAAATTTTGCACCAGTCAATGTAAAATTGAGAACGAAATTTTTTATCACAGGTGATTACAGGCTCCATTTCTTGACTGCATCTCAATTGATTCTGTGGGTTTTCCACTTCTCGTAAACAAGAAGAGAACGGGACATCTGCACCAACCATGACATACACGCTGCAAAAATGTGAAACTCTCAGGTTATCCTTTAAGAAAATTGAAAACACTGGGGGGAAAAAAAACAATCTACCCTGAAAGCAGGATTTACCCCTTTGAATTGAGGGATTATCGAGAGCCATCCCAAGGTAGGGACCTGGGTTTTAAAGGCAGTGATTCATGTAGGGGTTTCCTTTCATCCTTTCCTTTATTCAACCCATATTTACAGAGTACTTTGGTGCACCAGACACTCTTTCAATTCTATTTTAATTTCTTTAAAAGTTTTTCATCCTGCTTATTTTAATTCAAAATAATGATGTGTCCCTATTCTGGTTACGATGGTTGGTAGATTACTTACATTTAAAAACTATTCTTAAATAAATTGTTTAGAAAATAATGGAATTGCTAAAATAATAAATAATTATTAGTAATATATCTTCCCTTGAAGCATTTTAATAAGATTGTGAAATTACACCCCTGGAGGTAATGGAGCTTTAGGAAGTATTAGCTATTTACCCAAGAGTCCAGTCCGCCTTTCCACTTCATGGAGCCCTACTGTTAGATCTCTCATTACATGATCTCTCAAAGTTTTATCTAAGAGGGTAATATAAGATAAAACTATTGCTTGTTAAACACAAACTAGGCATGTGAAATTTATTTTCTTGGTGTGTATCTTGGCAATTAGGGAAAACAATTCTACTTAACTGACCAATAGGTGACTCACAATATTAGCATTTAAATAATCCTAGAGCAGCTTGAGAAAATAGAAATATCATATAGGTCTTTCAAAAGAAAAGAGAAAAGCAGGAAATTACTCTAAATTAAATATTAATTACTTTCCTAGTGACAATATTATAGGTACTTATGAAGTAAACCCAGTAAAATTCAGCTGACTTCCTTGCAGAAATTGACAAACTGATCCTAAAATCCATATGGAAATTCAAGGGACCCAAAATAGCCACCCACAGAAGAAAAATCTTGAAAGAAAAAGTTGAAAGACTCACAATTACCAATTTCAAAGCAACAATTATCAAGACCATGTGGTACTAGCATAGGATAGACATGTAGATCAATGGAACAGAATTAAAGTCCAGAAATAAACCTTACATTTAGTAAACTAAAATTTGTCACAGGTGCCATGACAATTCAATGGGGGAAATAATAGTCTTTACAACATATGATGCTGGGACAATCAGATTTCCACATGTGAAATAATGAAGTCGGACCCCTACCTCACACCATATAAAAAGTAACTCTAAATAGATTAAAGACATAAATGCAGGAATTAAAACTATTAAATTCTGGAAAGAAACAAGCATAAATTGTCATGACCTTGGATTAGGCAATGGTTTCTTAGATATGACACCAAAAGTTCCAGCAATAATTGAAAGAATAGATAAATTGGACTTATCAAAATTAAAAACTTTGTGCTTCAAAGGACACATTTTAAGAAAATGAAAAGGAAACCCATGAAATGGGAGAAACAATTTGCATATCATAGATCTAATAAGGGAACTTGCACTCCCAATTCATAAAGGACTTACAACTCAAATCCAATTTAAAATGATAAAGAATCTAAATAGAAATTTCCTCAAAGAAAATATACAAATGTCCAATAAGAGCATGAAAAGATGCTCAACATCATTAGCCATTAGCAAAAGAGAAACCAAAACCACAAAGAGACACCACTTCACACCCATTCTAATAAAAAAGACAGATAATACGAAGTGTTGGTGAAGATATGAAGAAACTGAACTCTCCTAGTCTGCTGATGGGAATGTAAAGCAGTGCAACTGGTTTGGAAAACAGCCTAGCAATGACTCAAAAGTTTAAATACAGAGTTACTGTGTGACCAGCAATTCCACTCCTAAGTGAAATGAAAATATGTTTCTACACAAATTTGTACATGGGTGTTTAGAGAGCATTGTTCCTAAAAGTCAAAAACTGAAAACAATACAAATGCTCATCAACTGAATGGATAAAAGATAGAATATTTATACATTAGAATATTAGCCAAAAAAAAAAAAAAGAATGAAGTGCTGATACATGCTACATTGTGGATAAACCTTTAAAACAGTATCCTAAGTAAAAAAAAAAAAAGTCACAAATTCCATCCATATGAAATGTCCAGAATACGGAAAATTAGAGAGATAGCAAGTGAGTAGTGGTTGCCTGGGGCTGGAGGGTGTGGTGGTAAGTGACTGCTAAATGGATGTGGGAGGGGGTTGTTGGAATGATGAAAATGTTCTAAAATGGACTCTGGTAATGATTGTACAACTTTGGAAATAAACTAAAAACCATTGAGTTATATACTTTAAATAGGTGAATTGTATGATATGTGAATTATATCTGAATAAAGCTTTTATTTTAAAAAATTAAAGTGCAGCACAATTATCTTTGAGGGGTAGATAATTTGTATTTGCTTATTGCTTGTATGCTCTTTTCCCCATGGATTTTCTATAATTAGCATGTATTATTTTTGTAAAAAGAAAAAATAACATTACTTTTAAAGTTAAAAAAATAAATAAAGTACAGCACAAAAATTCAAAGCTATGTCAATGTAAATATGAAGTCACACCCTGAGTTGATGACTGTGCCCCAGAGTACGATTACATAAGCTCATTTGGTTATACTTATGTGAATTGTACATTTGAACTGAAAATTCTTTTAAAAGAACATTAAACAAAAACCATGATGCCTTTGGGAGGCAAATAGTATATACTATACAGAAACTGAAGATAAAATGAAAAATTGAGAAAAAACGTATATGTGAGAAACCATTGGTAAAGTATGTAGATGATCAGTGAATCTCAACATAGTTCATAGAAGCATGGAACAGACTGTTGAATCTCAGAGGGAAGGCGGGGGTGAGCGGATGGGTGGGAAGAGATCGACCAAAGAACAGGTATACATACATGCATAACCCATGGACACAGACAATAGTTTGGTGAAGGCCTGGGGTGGGGGCTGGCCAGAAGGGGTCAATGGGGAAAAGAAGGGGACATATGTAAGACTTTCACAATAAAGACTTAAACATAGTTCATTTAAAACAAATTACTTGTAAGCTTCCTTATTAATTGCCTAGCAAAGACCATATTTTCCCTTGATATTGTGAAATATATTTGTACATACAGAACTAAAATGAATATTTCTTACAACGGTCCTTTTGCTTTAACATGACACTGATTTGCATTTATAATTAATAATTTTTAAATTAATTCACTTCAAGATAATATAAGTGGGCATAAACATATGTTTTTGGTGCTGTGAAAAGTTTATTTTTTTCTCAAATTAAAAAGCAACACAAAACATTACATAAAACTTGGGATATAAGGACAGAATTAATATTACCAAGATAGCTATTTTCATTTTCCAATTTACTATGCAGCATATTTTTCAAATGCATATATTTAACCTAATTACAATTGTCTCTAAAATATAATTTTGTATCTTTTTTCACTTAATGCATCATAAACATTTTCCCTATTGTACAGTCTTTGTAATTATAGATGTAAGGCAATATAATTTTTAAGTGCACATGATTTATTCAGCAATTATTTCAGAGTTGGACATGTAAGTTGCTTCCAATTTTTTGATGTTATAAATAATATCGCAAAGACTATCTCTGTGCATACTCTTTAATGTTACTATCTTGGAAGAGATGCCTAGAAGTGGAAACACTTTTATGACAGTTGATACATACTGCCAAATTACTTTCATCTGTACTGGGATGATCCATAAGCTTCACAAACTTAATACGTTCCGAACTGAGCTCATCATCACCCCACCCCACCCGACCTCCACCTGTTCCTCCTTCTCTCTTCTTCTCTCTCGGTGATTGGCATGGCCAGATGCTCAAGCACCATCATCTTTGAGTCCTGTCCTTCTTCCCACATATTCAATCCATCATCAGTCTCTGACATTCACCCTGAAAGAACTCTCATACACGCCTGTCCACTTTGTGCCTTCCCACTGCTACAACTCTAGCTCTAGTCACCATCACTTTCCACAGGGGATGGAGCAACAGTCCCTTATTAGTTCTCCTTGAACCCAGCCTTTTTCGCTGTCCTCAGGGAGCCTATTTGCAGAATAAATACCTGAATGAAAAGCATCTTGCCAGTTTAAAAACACAAGCAGTAGAAGAGTTGACAGTTGCTAAGAGAGTAAATCTTTAAAATTCTTATCGCAAGAAAAAAAGTGTGTAGCTATATGTGGTGATGGATAGTAACTAAACTTACTGTGGTGATCATTTCACTTTATCAGTATATATACATAGAGTCATTATGTTGTACACCTTAACTTATATAACATGTTAAATTATATCTCAATAAAGCTGGGAAATCAGTTAATAAATAAAATGCAAATAGGCTATAAATAATATGTTCAAGAAAAGTAGATATTGGAATTGCCTTGTAGGTAAAAAATAATGTGTATATATATTGTGTTTCTTTTGTAGAACCAGTAAGTTTCAACATGTTGGTTTTAAAAAGTAATGTTGCACGAGGCTATGTATAACAATAACTCTATCTATTCACACTAAAATTACATTTTCATAAGCTCTTGTTTTCCTTTCAGCTGGCTTTTTGATATATAGAAATTAGAATTTTTTATGAGGATGATTTTTACCTTTATGATTTTAGCAATCTATTTCCAAACATTCATATGTGTGTAAAGATATAACATTATCAAGGACAAGGCTCTCAAGCAGTGTTATCAAAACATGGTTCCTCAGATCTGATCTCAGGAATCGGTAAACACAAGATAGAACTTGTTCCTTATGAAGGTTTTTCGTCTTCCAATTTGAGCAACTCAATTTCCCTTGAGGGAAAACGCATTTGCTGAGGCATTTACACAGACAATGTGAAGAAATGAGAAACGGGTAAAAAATGTAAGTTAAAAGTCTGCCTTTTTCAGCAATAGCCAGATAAATGGGTCTAATGATTGTACTTTCTACCTAACTGTCCAAGGACTGAACGTATTTTATACTTTATTTTGTGTAGATGGGAGATAAGGACAGTTTCGAGTAGAATGTGTCTACATAAATAACACATCGCCCGGGCACTCCTGAGCTCTTCCATGCACCTCGATTCCTTCCTCTGTCCCCTACCCACTTCTTTGTTCTGTCCATATCTGCAATCAATCAATCACCATAAAACTAAATAAATGATCTAATACAGAATAGAAACAAAATAAAGGACACTTCTAGAGTCTAGTCCCACTGCTTGCTCAGTCCTCCCCCTGGAGAAGGAATGGATTCTCAGAAGAGGCAACGGGCACACAGGCCCAGGCCTTTCTGGCTTCCTGGGGCCTCCTGTTGGCAGAAAGGAGACGTGTGGGTCTGCTCTGTTCTTTCATGTGGTAGGCTTAGCACGCCCACCTGCTAAAACGAAAACTTTAATATCAGCCATTTTCTGCAAAGGTCCCTAATGCTTCAGGATAAAAGCCGCACACCTTTTCCTGGTGCACAAGGCCTTAGGTGGCCTGGGCTTGCCTCCTTGGTAACTATCACTTTTGGACCCCTACTCTCCATTTCCAAATCCACCACGCGTTCTCCCTAAGGGCCCAAGCCGTTCCCTCGCCTAGAATCCCCCCTCCTCGTTTTTTGAGCAGGCTGATTTGTACTCACATTGTAAACTCGGGCCAGGCTCCAGTTCACCTCCTCTCTGGACCCTTTTTAGGCATCCGCCCGACGTGGGCGGAGCACTCTTCGTTATGACAGCCTCAACGGTAGCATGTACCACACTTTGGTTTAATGTTCTGACTACTGTCTGCACCCTAATGGACTGTGAACATAGACAGTAATTTTTAAAAATATGTTTTTATTATTTTTTTTTGAGAGAGAGAGAGAGAAAGGGAGAGAGAAAGGGAGACGGATAGAGAGAAACATCGGCTGCCTCCTCCATGCCTCCCACTGGAGATTGAGCCAGGAACCTGGGCATGTGCCCCGACTGGGAATTGAACTGTTGACCTCTTGGTTCCTGGGACAACGCTTAACTGCTGAGCTACACTAGTTGGGCCATAGACTGTAATTTTGAAGACACTGTACCCCCAGACTAATACACTATTCCCCCCCCCAAAAAAATACTTACAAAATACTAAACTATGAAAGAAAAGCATGAATGTATGCATAGAACTTAGAAGACTAGATATTAGACATCTAGTTGCATTGACTTCATTTATTTGTTTTTAAACTTACAAAAACAGATTCATATGGGTCTTCAATATTTTTTTGTATTTAAAAACTATTTTTAAAAATTCTATCTGCTATCACCATCATTCCTTAAATGAAAGGATATCAAAAGCACATTATTTTAAAATAATGCACCCAAAATATCGAAGGTTCATTACTTAAGAATAAAGGACAATCTTGTAAATCACCAAACATGGGGACGATTCAGCAGAGCACCAGGGACTGGCCCAGGATCATGATCTTGCATCACAGCGGTATTTGGCAGCCACTGACTTACATTCTCTTCCTCAAGTGTAACTTCTCTCTGAGGCCTTGGTAGGGCGGAGGGCAAACCATTAATTACAGGGAGTACTCTGCGCGATTGTCTAGGAGAATAAACCAGGATTCTCTGTTGCTGATTGGGGCTAGATCCACATGCTTTGGGAACCAGAGGAAATAGTGGTAGGTTTGACAATCTCTTATGAAAAGTGAGTCTATTCTTTAATCCTCACACCCCATCATTCCCTTCATAGCCACCATTTACACCACATCACTCACCCCAGGTTGGCAGCTCTGCCATGCCTAGAATGAAATATGAACCTGCTCCTCTTGCCACCAGCTTTATCCCAGGCTAAATGCATCCACAGAGTCCTTAGCCTCTGGCTCCGCGTCAGGAGCGAAAGTGGCACCAAGACCACACACTGGGAGAGAGCACAGTTGCCCTGGGGTTACAGGTCTGGCGAGTGAAAGGGAATCTTTCCAGGAGGCTCAGCGTTCCTTCGCAGGAGCTCACTCACTTTGACATAAATCTTTATAATTGTTTTCTGTTAGACTGAGGAGAAGTTTGAAAGCTGTCAGTGAGTTCTGCAGGGATGAAAAATACACATCAAGAAGAAAGAGGAGCTGGGATGCTGTTCAATGGGTTCTTGATGATTGACATTTAGTGGTGCTTGGGCTGTGCAGGGGCTGGCTGTAAGCTTACTCTGAGGGTCTACCATGTGAGTTTCTCTTCCTCATCGACCATATATAGCAAATATGGAAACATCTGCAATTAGTGGATTATGGCTGCCATGAGAAATAGAAAAATATTTCATGAAATTTTTTTTAAAAAGATCAGAGATTGAGGCTTATGCTAAGTATAAAGTAGAACACATATTTAGGTACTTAATTAGTACTTCTGAAGTGTATATTTTTTAAACAAAATTTTATAAAAGGAAGGGATGCTTTTTTTTTTTTTGCTATCTCTGGCCCTATCTCTTGATCTTTTCACTATTTCATTTTTAAAAGGGATTTGAAGCCCATGTTATTTTCAAAAGAAAGTACAGAGGCAAAAGTTTATTAAGTCAATTGGTAATTATGATATACACCATTAAAAAAGAAAGGAAGGCACCAGAGATGAGTTAAGCATTGGACTTATTTCTAAATTTAAGGCAACAGGGGTTAAAAAAAATTGTTACTACAACATTAGATAACAACTGAAGAAAATATGCAAAATCATTCCCAGGGACAAGTTTTCTTCTGGAATTATACTCAAGGAGGATTTTAATTAATTAGTGCTTGTAGAGGGATATTGTAGTAATAGAGTTGGCTTTGGGTATAATTTATAGAAATGCTATTTTGAAAGACTTTTTGAATACTTTGTAAAGGTTATGGCTTAACATTAAATTAAAACTCGCGGAAAGCATTTCAAGTTGGGAAGGGATCTGAGACCAGGTCCAAATAAATGCCATGGGACTGACTCTCTCAAATGCCTGATAGCACATGCCACCCTCTAGCAGGTGTTGGGGGTCAGTCAGCTAATGACCGAATTCTCCAACAAGTACTTGAGGGACAAAAATTCCGTTCTTAATTTAGAGTCACATGCTCAGACCCAGCCCTAGACTCAAAGATTCAGAATCCCTAGGGGGAATCAGAGGTCGGAACCTAGCTGTATTTTTGTTAAGGTGCCTACTGACAAGTCTCAGGCTAGACATAGCTGGGAAGCACTGTTTTAGGTGGGAGTTTGGTTTAGAGAGTTATGTAGTTCAATGGAGTTTAGTTGTTTCCAAAAGTGCCTCAGTGGGTGGGGCCTGCACTAGTGGTTGGAGAAGGGCTGCGCCCAGAAGAGAGCACCACTGTGGGAACCTCTACCAATGCCTGGCTTTCATGGTGCTCCCTCCAACACCTTTGCTCACTGTCTGGACAATCATCACAGAACACATGACTTTAACAAATGCTGGAAAGATTCCCCATTTGGAGAAGGTGTTCCGGGGAGATACCTCTGTTCATTTCTTTCCACAGTTCTCTCTTAATGACTCAGAGAATCAGGTTGTAACTCTGACGTAAACATTTGAATTCTAGAATTACGTTTTCACGGAAAAAGCTGCCCAAAAAACGAGATAAAAGCAACACTTCTAAGTGTGCTTGGCTGGCTTCAGAACACATTACTGTAACATAGCAGGTACAGTTTCGTTCTGAAATTTGTGAGCTGGACTTGACAGCTCACTGCTTAGCCCTTACCCCGCTTCTGCCTACTCCCTCATACTTTAGTTACGTCTACTTGTGATATTTTCCCTTATTTCCAACAACGTCCTCCTTTATAGCTGGCCTTAAATTTAATTCTTATTAATTCAGGCATTCTAGGTAATTCCAGATATCATCTGTGTAAAAATGTTATCAGGAATATGAATGAAGGAGTTGGAAAGGAAATATGCTACCCAAAATATAACTCATTCCATATCTCATATGTTTATAGGATCTGCTTCAACCTACAGATTAAAAATTAAAGATCAAAGTCTAGCTGACACTGACTTTTCAGTTTGCCCAGGTATAGGAGTGCTTCTGAACCTCTATGAGGGCTGAGTCATCCTCTGTAAGGCTTGGGAACAGATAACTCTCTTTCAAAAGCACTGCTTCACTTCACCATTGTGACAAACTAGAGGGAGAGCAAACTCCCCATGGGAGCAAATGAGGAGGTTGAGGCACAGAGGAATGCAGCATTTCGCCCAACGTCATCCAGCTTGAAAATGACAAGGCCGGGCTTTAGGAATGGGTCTCAAATCCGCTTCAGCCACCAGTCACTGACACATGGTGGAAAGAATGTTAAAGGCAAAGAAATAGTTGCCTAGCATAAAGTTACAGCAGTCTGCATGTCCTGCTGCAGCTGATAACTGGGGCATCAATGTCCTTTGAAATTCCGGGTCCTAAATAATCAGTTTCTCTACAGAAGGTACAAAAGACTCAGCGCTGTAATTTATGATTGCTGATCCTGATCTACAATTAGATTTCACAGGACCTGGAACATCAGATATAAAGAACCGTTAACATAACCTCTTTATCAATACAGAAAATTGCTAGTATTTTCATATCTTTACAATACCCACATCTTATTTTTTTAAAAAATGCAATAGACCATCTTCCATCTATAATAAGCATGATAAGATAACCATATTTAAAAATTCATATTGAAGGCAACAAGATAAAGGTCTGCTTACCCCTCCTTCATGTCATTGATAGGGAGCGGAACCCTGCCGCCCCTGTCCAGGGCCGACGTGATGTTTATGGCATTCAGACGCTCCGGCTGCCACACATTCTTCACCGCCCCAAGGAAGTCTCCGAGCACCTCGCTGGCCAGCATTTCTTCTACATTCATATTTTTAATGAAGAATTCCGCTTGGTATGGTAACGGGAAATCTAATTTTGGTGGAAAAGGGTATGCATAGCTTTAGTGAAGTGGTCTTTGGAAAGGGAAACAAAAGAACAATTCTAGACTTGTTTATTTCTGTCACAGTCCTGCCTTTGGAAAATGATATTAATCCTGACTTTAAAGGCTTTCTGTATAACAGGGATGTATCTAAAAATATAACATACATTTGTCACAGAATTTTATCTACCATGCATTACAATTCAAGGGCACAGCAGGGCAGTGAATAATTACAGGATTTGGTAAAAAGAAAGAAAAAAAGGCCAAATCAGCCTCCAACTTGCCAATGACCTGCTGGCCTCCTTTCTTGCCTCACCCAGGCAGAAGGGGCACTTCCGGAACGCAACATGGGTAGGAATAATATTTTGTATTAATAGTGTTTTCAAATTAACAGATCTTTTTCAAATATATCGTCTCATTTAATCATTACAACCCTAAGTAGTGCTATTCCTTGGGCACAGAGCAACATTCTTTCCAAAAAGAGAGAACATCATAAAATATCAGTACTTGCTTGTGGCTTGTTGGTATATGATTTGAAATAACACATTTTTAATGTGCAGTATAGTCATGCATTGCTTAACAACAGGAATACACATTCCATTTCGCATTCTGATAAATGTGTTGTGCAAACATCCTAGAGTGCACTTACACAAACCTGGATGGTATGGCCTGCTGCTACACACCTAGGCTGAACGGTATAGCCCATTGCTTTTAGACTACAAGCTTGTACAGCAAGTCACTGCACTAGACACTGTAGGTAATTATAACACAATGGAAAGTATTTGTGTGTCAAAACATACAGTAAAAATATAGTATATTGTACCTGAGACTAGTATAAAATAATATTGAATGTAAAGCAAAGTTGACATAAAATAAAAAATTATGGTATAAAAGATAAAAATTGTTGTACCTGCATAATGCCCTTACCATGAACGGACCTCGCAGGACTGGAAGTTGCTCTGGGTGGGTCAGTGAGTGAGAGGTGAGCGAATGTGAAGGCCTAGGATATTACTGTCCACGACTGTAGTCTTTATACAACTTTACACTTAGGCTACTCAATTTATTTAAAACAAGAGCTTAGCATTGTGCTACAATGTCACAATGGCTACAGTATCACTAGGTGATAGGAATTTTTCAGCTCCATTACAGTCTTATGGGGCCATGTCCTCTCTGCAGTCCAAAATGTTGTTATGTGATGCACGGCTGTATTTTGGAGCATGCTAAAACATTACGGAGTACTTTTTACTAAAATAAATATTGATTATATTTTCAATAAAAATTCTGAAATTATAACAATATTACTATTTTGATCACTCCATAATTAAATATTTTAGAAAAGTTATGTTTTAAAATTCTCATTAAATTCCTTATCTCATACAGATTTAGCTTTCCTCTTCCCTAATATCTCATAAATATTTCTCTCCAAATATTTCAAAATTAATATTTTAAAACAATCAAATGTCCAATTCATACTCTCAATAAAGAGTAAATATAATTTATTTCATTTTCTCAAATGTTATTCTTGAATTGTAAATCATCATCTCCCTTGTTCTAATTGTTATATTAAGATAAAAATAGCTTTCTTTTGTTTAATATTTCTGTAATAATAAAGGCTTCTTTTTTATTAATACTTACAAACTAATGGAATGAGGTGAATTGTCACATTTATTACTCACAACCAGAGCGTGAGTAGGTCTTTGTGTTGTTCTCCATTCTTTCAGAAGGGGAATCTGATCCTGAGGTTCAGAAATTTACCCTCATTTGAATTTATATGACTTTTATCTAAGCTAAGGGAGACTGTATACAAGTGCTTCTCTTTAGCAATTACTATCATAATATAAACAGGTTGGTTATCTAAATTCTTCCTTTAAAGGGAAAATGTTTCTGGACTATACACAGAGTAATTTATTCAATGTATACACCCTCTGACTTATTTTATTAAAACTCTTATCTATAAAGTATTTCACTCTTACTTAATAATAAAATAAAAAATAAAAACTACACAATAAACAACTGAAATCGTGATGACCTCATTTCTTATGAAGCCACTTTAATATGAAAGGGTACGTAATGCCTGTGGTGATGTCAGGGTAGACATTCTGGCTTTAAAGTTTTCAAGAGAGTTTTCTAGAGTGTGGCATCTCTTCCTAAAGAATGAGTTCTCCAAGGCCCTAATCACAGAAGGTTCTTTACTCATTTCCGACACTGTCATTTATGCTGCTTGTGGTTTTGTTAGATTTGCTTGATGTACAGGCCATCTGCAATCTTCTAAAATGTGAGGTATATATATATTCTCTTTTATGTAGATAAGTTTCCTGTTTCATATAGAAACATTTCCTGTTTCTTACAGATAAACAGTAGCTTAATCATATTACATTTTTCCCCATACCAAGAAATGGTTGTGCAGAAATACGTCATGAAGAACAGTGTCTTGGCAATAAATGACATTTATAAATAATGCCAAATACAGTTTTGAGCATGCGAGAAGTCTACCCTCTATTAATTTCATTCAGTGTTTTTATATCCACTGTTCAAAACTTGTTTCTTATGACCCATGTTACTTTTTGGAGAACTGTTTCTTGGCTTGTCCTAATCCATGTGACCCCACTTTGTCATTCCTTTATGAGACCGGCTGCCGCCACGCCCCTCAGCGGCTCCGGGCTGTGCAGCTGCCTGCTGTCTACCCAGCCAAGCGTGGCTGCCAGGGCTCCCAGAGATGAGTCACTCAAGCTTTCTAACTTTGGGGAAATCCCAGGCCTGCTATATTTGGACATCACAGAGGCCAAGGGAGCAGTAGGCCAAGAGATTGGTGGCAGGCCTCCGAGGTACTGAACCCAATTTAAAGAATCACTGTGTCCTCTCCTTCAGCTCCAGGCTGTGTGAGTCTCCAGGACTAATTTCCCATTAGGACTCTCCAAGCAGGAGACAGCTGGGCAAGGAGTCAGACGGAGCGTGATTATCCTGATATGCCACTCTTATTTCTTTTCCTAACTTTATCTGGAAGAAATGGCATGTATGGAGGTCAGGCTCCAAGATGCACATCCTAGAGCCCATATCAATTCCATCTATACCAGCAAGGACAAATGCATGCCACTTGGTTCCCTGGTTTTCATAGCTTGGGGCCCCAGAACCCTCTGTAAAAAGCAGTAGAGCAGCTCTGTCAGAAGTAAAAACCCCAAACCCATCTACTCTTCCTCCCTCGTCAACACATTTCAAAACCCCTATTTTTAGATAAATAGCCCCTAAAGCCACCTTTTAATTCTATAGTTGTGTAGTGGTTTTCCACTAGTGTCTGCTGGGACATGGGTCCCCACACACCACTAACACCTATTAGGATGCCTGTGGACTCTATAGCCACAGGACTGAGAGAAGACTTGAGAAAGAAGAGGTTCAAACTACAGACTAACAGGGACTCCCATACCTGACAAAGGGCTTTGAGTCACTCTGAGCGTAACGGTGAGGTGAGTGACCCACGCTCGCTGACAGGTAACTATATAACTAACTGTACTGTTGAAATCCTTAGGAAAAGGAAACTTTGCAATTATTCTGTTCATTAAGGGCATTCTAATTCTACAGGGACCGATTAGACTGGATGCAAGCATCCAAATACAACTGGAGTCAAGTACAAGTCTCGCTGACCCAAATGTCAATACCTACCAAAGCCCTTGGGAAGCGAAAAAGTGGACAGGGAATTTTCTGTCCAAGCCTACAGAACCGGCACTGGGACTTGCTTTGCATATATGAAGGTCATTCACAATTTCAAACTAGCAGATTTGTTGCCTGCAACTGATATTGCTATAACCCCTGGGAAGAACTCATGTAAAGGGGTTCAAAGTCTTCAAGCAATTTCCTCAATTTTTTTTGAATTTCCTCAATTTTGGATTACATTAGCAAATCTATAGAAATTGTTTTCTTTTGTATAGTATAAAAGCAACTTTTAACCTAGCCTTTGCTGAATTATCACACAATCCAAATTAGTAGGTTCTGAAAAAGTTTTTTGTGTTTGCTCATTTGTTTTTAACTGTACTGGTACATAGAAGAATCCCCCTACCCAGGGTACACACTGTTTTCCTGCTTTCGGGAGGGAATATGCCATGTTCATTCTCCTCCTGTTACCCTCATTCATAAATAATATCTGATATAGAGAGGAGTACCCCATGATATATACATTTTAACTGCAAAGTTTTTAGTTGGTATGTATTTTTCCCAATCAAGTGCCAAAATAGGGTCAAATATTTGAAAGGGTAATTCTTGGAGTAGTCCCTGGGTCCTTCCAAATCCTCGGGAATCACTTATAATTTGAGCATATGTAACTCTAAATTGCTGATGGACCCTGGCAATTCTGATGCATGATTAGCTGTTAGGAAGTAGTGTGTGACCCAAATTACAGTTTACTTCTGTCCATCAATAACTCCTTATCTTCACAAAAAAAACTATGATAAGTTTTAAAGTAAAATAATGAAACTAGCTAATAATTACTGATTGTGTACTCTGTGCTCAGTCCTAAGTGAAGCACATTTCATGCCTAATTCATGGAATCTGTATCCCAGACTGATAAGAGCAATTTTATTCTTAGTTTTATTTTACAGATAAGGAAAACAAGGCCTGAAGAAATAAGTGGCAACCTAACACAGTGGTCGGCAAACTCATTAGTCAACAGAGCCAAATATCAACAGTACAACGATTGAAATTTCTTTTGAGAGCCAAATTTTTTAAACTTAAACTATATAGGTAGGTACATTGTTATTAATTTAATTAGGGTACTCCTAAGGCTTAGGAAGAGCCACACTCAAGGGGCCAAAGAGCCGCATGTGGCTCGCGAGCCGCAGTTTGCCGACCATGGCCCTAACACATCATGGTATTTATAACAAATTAAATATTGCTTAGTTTTCTTTTCTACATTTTAGTATTTCATTAGTTATATTAGATATCTGGTACTTTAAAATCTTTAACTATATTTTACACAGACATAAAATATAATGAAATATTCTTGTAAACAAAGAAGCAATCAGCAACACATTTTTTCAGACCTACCTTCTGCTGACATTATATTAATTATCAAATTATGCCTTGCAGTCTCAAAGGTACGCCTATTGTAGGCAGTTATCTATCGGAAAATGAAAATCATATTAAAAAAGTGAAATGTTATTTGGAAAATAAAATTCATTAAGGACAAAATGAAAACATACTGTCCTTTCCATTTTCATGATTTGTTTATATACTTACAAAATATTCCTTCTCTGTGCAATAAGAACTCAGAGCTTTTAGCAATATTATGGGAAGAGAAATCATTAGTCAGGTCTATTTAACATGCCGAAACAAGTTAAAATCAGAGAGACTCTTTCACGGAAGACCGTTAAGTGCTCATCACAATGCAGAGGTACCATTAGTAAATGGATTAACCATTATGAATTACTTACCAGTGCCATTGTAAAATTTCAAAAACACCAAAACAACTTTTATTTTTGTACTTTTAAATGAAGCTTAAGGATTGTCCTGGAAAGGACACATTAAAACAAGCACATCTCCGTGTTGTTTGCACACCAACCAGTCAAAAAAAATGTCATGAATAACCCTTGGGAAATCACATCTCCACTTATGATGGGAGTAAAACAGTAAGGGTCATGGTCTATAAAGCTTATGGCACATGCTCAAAACACAGATCAATCCCTTTGTACAGTCAAATATTAGTGAACATTTGAAGAGCCAATGACCTCACATCAAAGTCAACTCAGAAATAGCCACTGCAAACAGCAAACAAAGCGAAGGCCAAAACCAGAATAATAGTTCAAAATTCAAGGAATAATTAACTTTATGACAGATAGGAAATCGTTCAGACAGGTCTGCAGTACCTCAAAAACCCCAAAAACTAATAGATTGTGCAAAGTCTTAGCATCCCGGCACCAGCCTTCTGACAGTGATTACAGCTGTGGTTGACACTGAGAAAAAAAAGTAGAACAAACTGACTCATAAAAGAAATATCTTGCTCATTTAAAAATGAATATCAAAGAACTTGTATGCATATATGCATAACCCGTGGACAGAGACAATAGTGCAGTGAAGGCCTGAGGAGGGGACAGGAGAGGGATGGAGAAGGTCAATGGGGGGGAAAGGGGGGGCATCTGTAATACTTTCAACAATAAAGATAAATTTAAAAAAATAAAAACAAATATTAAAGATTTTCATAGCATCATAAAGCTTTAAATAAAATAAATTACACTCAGGAATATTTATGAATACAGTAAAAATCAAAATTTTGGAGTAATTCCAAACCTTTAATAATATTTAAAACTATATATTTTGAAAAGCAGACTATTACACAAAGTTAAAAGAACTCTCCCCACAATCTGTCGGATTTCTGTTGGATTTAATGACTTCCTACCTATATTTTTTGGACACATGATTAATTAGATTAACAATGAAATAAAGACTAGTCATTAAAATGAAGTAGGAACTCTGTTCACAAAGAAGCAAATGAAAAAAATGTAATAAAGATTTCATTTAGGAATTTTCATGCTTTTAAAAGTTCACCCTGCAAAAAACTTAATCATTCTCACTGAGAAAAAAAGCATCAATCTTCTACTATTTGTTATAATATCTCAAAGTTAAAGCTCAGAAAGAAATATTAGACATTTGCAAATGAGTGGCAATATTTTTATGGGTAGCCTTTCCTAATTATCACAAATCTCAATATTGTAAATTTCATGAATTCTAATGTGATTGTTTTTAAAAATTCACAGCTACTATAGGGAGTGAAAACCATTTCATGAATTAGGAAGAATAATTTTATTATCTGAATTTATATTTAATGTTTAATGTTAACAGTTATAACAGAATACAGTCCTCCTATCACTTCTAATGAGATTATTTAAATACTGTAATATCCTCAATCAAATTTTACTGAGGTATATGTGTGTGCATGCTTTTGTGGGTTGTTGTTTTGTTTTGTTTTTTGGTGCCTGCTTTTTTGCTTCCCTATGTTTAGAAGAGTGGCTCATCTAATTTAGATGCTTAATAAATATCTACAGAATAAATTAAGCAGAGTTATATGATTATGTATTAGTTTAAGATATGTAAAACTTTTTTGACTATACTACTAATAGAATATTTTAAAACTGTAGATATGTTACTATATATGGATATAGAAATGAGTTTTTTACTACTTGTGCTAGATGAAAGATATGCTATATTTTCATCATTATATTTCTGGCATATTATTTGATACATATTGATAACGTTATCTCTTAGTTATAAGGTATAAGAACATAATGAACCCCTGTGAATCCTCGCACAGCACATGTATTTCTCTATCTTAGCCCCTTGCCTCTCTCCAACCAGAAATGCCATTTTGAATTTTGTATTTATCATACCCTTCATTTTAAATATAGCTTTATTATAAATGCATGTACGCTTAAAATATTTAATTTGCTTGTTTTTTGAGCTTTATAAAAATGGTAAACTGTATGTAGTCTTCTGGGACTGGTGTTTTCTTATTCAACATTATGTTTAAAACATTTATCCATGAGACTGGGCAAGATTTAGTTCAGTGTTGCTGTAAACATTCACTGTGTGACTAATTACTCCACAATTTAGTTATCTATTCTGTTGCTGATGAACTTTTGGGTCACCATTGCTTTGTGGGATATATATATGTGTGTGTATATATATATATGTGTGTGTATGTGTGTTGTCTTTTTTTTAATGGCTTCTTTGGTGAACAGAAGTTCACAAGTTTAATATAGCAAAAATTTATCAATCTTTTCTCTTAAATAAAAATGGTTAGTTATTATTTAAGAACTCCTTCCGGACCCCAAACTCAGAAAGTTCTTCTACACTATCATATAATAGCTTAAAATTTTGCTTTTCACATTTAAATCCTCAATCTAGACTTGAGTTTTATATTTCCTATGAAGTAAGAATCTAATTTTATGCTTGCCACATGGCTAACCAATTGTCTGAGTACCATTCAATAAATAGACATCCTTTTCCCAATGACCTGATGATGTGTGGCACCATCTCTTCAGATATATACCATTGTTCCATATGAGACAGATGTGGTTGTCAATACCTTCAATATTTTGATGCACTGTTTCTTCTGCCTAAGACAGCCTTCCTTCTATTTTGTGAAGTGAATTCCTATTTACCCTCTTACAACTCTTCATCAAACAGCACCTTTTTATTATAACAGTTATGTGTGTTGGCTAAATATGTGTTTCCACTTCAGTGCTCCAACTCCTGGACTCACCTGTTATTCATCCTTCTATCACCAGCACCTATCCTAATGCTCAGTACATGGGAGAGGTTCATAAAATGTCTGCATAATGACTGTATTTCAGTGAACATGAAATTTGAAATTAAAATAAGGAGCAGATAAGTTTGCACTTATTTTCTTAAATATAATTCATATTATAGTAATCTATTTCTTTTAAGTGTCTTAATTTTTTCCACTAATTTGGACTGCCCTCTTTTTTATATAAAAGCTGAAAGAAAAAACTGTGAAATGACACACACCAATGGAACCGGATTAAGAACCCCCAAACCACATGTGTATGGGCAAATAATTTTTGACAAAGGAGCCAAAAACATACCATGAAGAAAATAAAGCCTTCTCAATAAATGGTCCTGGGAAAATTGGAAAGCCAAATGCAAAAGAATGAAACTGGACTATAATCTGTTACCATGTACAAACATTATTTCAAATGGATCAAAGACCTAAATATAAGATCTGAAACAGTAAATTACATTGAAGAAACATCGGTACTAAACTTATGGACCTGGGTCTTAGAGAAGACTTTATTAATTTGACCCCAAAGACAAGGGAAGTAAAGGCAAAAATAAATGAATGAGACTATATCAAACTAAAACGCTTGTGCACAGCCAAAGAAACCACCAACAAAACAAAACGGCAGGCAACCTAATGGGAGAAGATACCTGTAAACAACAGCTCTGACAAGGGATTAATAACCAAAATATATAACAAACTCATACAATTCAACACCAAACAAACACTCCCACTTAAAAATGAGCAGAGGACCTGGACAGACACTTCTCCCAAAAAGATATACAAATGGCAAACAGATATATGAAAAGATGTTCAGCTTCATTAGCTATTAGGGAAATGCAAATCAAAACTATAATGAGATACCACCGCACACCTGTTAGAATGGCTATTATCAACAAGACAGGTAATAATAAGTGTTGAAGAGGTTGAGAAGAAAAAGGAACCCTCATTCACTGTTGGTGGGAATGTAAACTGGTATATCAACTATGGAAAACTAGTATGGAAGTTCCTTAAAAAAATTAAAAAGAGAGTTCTCATATGGCCAAGCAATCCCTCTTCTCTGCACCCACCCCCAAAATTTGAAAACATTTATTCAAAAATATATATGCACCCCTTTGTTCAATGCAGCATTATTCACGGTGGCCAAGACATGGAAACAACCAAAATGTCCTTCGATAGATGATTGAATAAAGATGTAGTAGATATATACAATGGAATACTACTGAGTCATAAGAAAAGATGAAATACTGCCATTTGCAACAACACAGATGGACCCTGAAACTGTTATGCTAAGCAAAATAAGTCAGTCAAAAAAAGCTAAGAACCATATGATTTCACTCACATGTGGGATATAAAACTGAAACTCATAGATACAGACAACAGAGGGAAGCGGTATTGGGGAGTAGTAAAAGGGGCCAAATATATGGTGGGTACACAATGCAATATACTGATCCTGTATCATAGAAATGTACACTTGAAACCAATCTAATATTATTAACCAATGTCACCCCAATAAATTTAAAAGACTTTGGAAATTCACAGAAAGGAATGGTACATTTCCAAATGCAATCTACAGTGTTTCCATGCATAAAATGCTGGAAACTATTGCCATGTAATTTTAATTCCAAAATTTGAAACTCAAATTACCAAAAAAAAAAATATATATATATACAATTTTGCTCATTCTAAGACATTACCTCAATGATTGTTGGTTTCCCCACATTTTCAGCTGTTGGAGACCCATACAGGACTCCATCACTATACGGTGTCCTTTGGATATATCGAAGCCATCCAGGTCGGTCTGGATAACCCATTAAATTTGTGTTAAATGTTATGGGATCATTACTAATCTCGCCTAGATAAGAAACACAGAATTAAAATACAAGTTAGTTATTTTCACACATGTTGCTTTGGTAGTTTCAATCAAAATATTTCTGTCTTAAAAAATTTTTTTTACATTTGTAGCAAACTAAATACACACACACAAAGCCAAATCCATCTGGGAATTCAGATTAGGGCCTCATGTAAAGAAAAAATCCTTTTGGTTGTTCCGTTTGTCTAGAAATCTAATGTAATAAAGAAAGCAGATTCATACAACTTCAGAGGAATTTTTCTTTTCTTTTTCTTTTTTCTTATTTTGGTCACCTAGGAGTGGGAAAGTTTTACCAATAAGACAACTGTCTTTCAGAAAAATCTCCCAATCATGTTGAGGTGTTCATTTTCTTGCGAAGCCTTCCTTTCATGAAACTCTGGACACTATCAAACTAATCTTAATATCTCAAAATTATAAAAATATTATTTTAAAACAAAAATGATGTAATTTTAAAACAATGGAGGATGAGTTGAAAAAAGTGTTACAAATCCAAAAGACTTGTAATAATGACATTTATTAATGATAAATAATAATAATAATGGCATCATTTATTAGCATGTACCTGGCCCTGTTACTGTGCCTAGATTTTACAGGCACTACAGTATTTCATCTGATTTTGAAACATACCTATAAAAGTAGTACTATCATTATCCCTAATCTTGTTGATGAAATATGTAATTTTCCATGTTATGTAACTTCTCTGTGGTCATGTTATGTGGTAAAACTAGAATTTAATCTTGGCTGACTCCAGAAACTATGCTTTTAACTACATGTTTTCTTCTCAAATATTAGAGTTTGCTCAAAAGGTTTAGCTAAATAGTTTTGCAACATAGAATACCACATTAAAAAACATTTTTTAAGTAACTGATAAAAAGACTACCTTTTATTCTAGAATGCTGTTGATAACATGGTTAACTATATTTTATGAGTGTTTTCAGGTATGCTTTTCATCATATAATCTACAAAAATAATGTTTATATTAATTGTAATGCTCTAATTTTCAGAAAATTCATTTTTATTTGTTACTTAAGAATTATAATAATTTAATATATTTTTTCTTGCCAGTCTTTCTATGTCTTCATTGATTTCATAGCATTTGTTACAAAAACATAAGCCAATAGTGAATCAAATAAGACTGTGCAAATGGTATTACTTTAAGGGAAAAATTAATCTTCATTATATAAAATTATTTCATATTATAAAAGCTTTTTTAAGAACTTTCTTAATACCATATTTCATGCTCTTCTATAACATATGTATAGGTTTCTAAAAATCAATGTACTATATAAGATTCAAAGTTTTAACATGAAAGTCATAATTATATAACTATAACTATTTCTACGCAAATACAGGTACATCATTTGTCAGAAGCACAAAGCTCAAGACTGAGAAACCAAAAATATGCTTTATTCAAAATCAAAAATGAATTATTTCCTTCTGCAATTAAATTTATAATCTTATGATGGAAAATAGCCTACAATGACCAATTTATCATGCACCCAAACCATTTCAAATGTTAACAATGTTTTATCATATGTCACCTAGATTATACACACTGAACAAAAAGGAAAATGTAGTAAATCAATCACTTTTCCCCCCCCATTGAAGACATACCAGGTTTGGGGTAAGGTGGAAATTCTCCCTTAAAAGACTCTCTTTCCAAAACATGAACAAAGAGGACACCAGCAGATGGGTACACATCGCGATCAGAGTGCACCTTCGAGAAGATGGTGTACACTGAAAACGGAGAGGGAAGAAAGGAGATGGACAAACAATGAGATATGCTCTTGACAATTCACTTACCCTGTAAAGGAAGGGAAAACTGAAGCAACATGCAACATATTGTTAAGAAGTTTGTTTTAAAAGGAAGTGATTTTAGAACAAAACATCAAACAACTCTTCCGACTTGGCATGTTTAGAGACTTTTAAAATACTGTGTAAACAAAATTAGGCACATTTTAATGTTTTAAATTGTTATTAAATAGTGAAAACATTCATAACATCTTTTTCGTGATTTCATTGCAATTATTACCAGCAAAATGCATCATAAGAACTAACCAACTACATAATTGCTAGTTTTTTTTTCCAAAGCAAAATATAAAGTGTAATTTTTAAATGGTCAGAATCTATGCTGTATTGTTTGCTAGACAGAGCACATCAGAGTGTATAATACCATCGATCGATATAAGGCAACTTTCATATATACTGATTAAAAAATGCATTGATACTTTTTCTATGAGTGTTATTTCTCATCTCTCTCCTACAACTGATTTATTCCATTTTACCTGATCTTGACATTTAATAACTCACGCAATATAAACCTACATCCTAAATAAGCGATATCAATTACATAATAAAATTCAGTGCCAATAATTGCTTTAAGTGAAATGGGGTAGATTTCATGATTCACTGGTTACTTAAGATATACGATGGGAGTACATTAAAATGGCCAAATTGGTTTGATTAGTTTTCCACCTATTGTTTTTCCTCCGATATCAGCATCTCCACCAACACATTACTGCCATTACCCTTGTCACCTCTACAATCTCTTTTGGTTTTCTATCTTCCTGACTGGCTAGTGGCTGCAATTTTTAAACAGATAAACTCTATCAGGCCAGTTCTTTCTCTTACTCACTGATGGATTTGTAAATGGAGTAATTAACCTTAAGAACTCCAACGCTGCTTACTTCAGGCTCACAACTAACTAAAAGCCCTGGATAGCGAGATCGCTGACAGTAGATTTTTCAGCATAAAAATAGGAACTCCCACAAAAATGTTTCTTTATCTGTGAAAACTTGTCCCTGCGGTTCTGTGGATGGCTGCCAAAAATGTAAAACTAAACTAAACTATTTGGCTTGTAGCTTCACGTAGATCCATAGCTTTACTACGAAACACACAACTTCAAAGGCCATGTCACCGAGGGAAGGAAGCTGCAGGCTGGGTTCAAACTAGGTCTGCAGGGAGACTCGTCCCTTCCTGCCTTGTTTGGTGCGAGTATTCGTAAGTAGTCTTCCCATGGCCTTCAGAATACCCAACTTCTCCCCAAGAACAACTTCCTCACCAGTGGAAATGGTCCCGTTCTCAAAAACGTTAGTGTAAGAGTCCTAGAACTGTGAGGATAAGAATTTGAGGTTTTTCAGCAGCTGCAATTCCACAACACCTCCTGGAATACAAGGTGCTATGGAGAATGCAGCAATGAAGGAGACCTAGTCCCTGCCTTCCACGAGTTCACCATCTGGTTTGGGAGACCAATGTCCACCTAACTCGGTATCATGCCAGAGGAGTACGCTGCTCTGGCAATACCTGGGAACATGATGAGCCACAACAGAGGCTAGAAAGAATTGGAAAAGATTTATGGGAAAAGTAGAATTCAATATGGCTTTTAAAGTACTAGCAAGGTTCTGAAACTCAGAGATGGGGAATTCGGGCATTGCAGCATCGAACACACATACACGATACAATTGCGGAGTTGCGTGGGGTTCTTTCAAGGAAGGGAATTAAACCAGGGGTGCTAGATCTTGGGGTATATTTAAGGTAGGGGGAGAAAAACTGGGAAGACGGACAAATTATGCAGAGTTGTGAACTCCTGCTGAGCAGTTATTTCATTCTATATGTAAAAAGGAGTTTATATCCAAAGCACAGAAATATTTCGAATAATCTAAAGGGATCTCTTCAGAGCTAATCTAATTTATTCTTCCTAGAGATTAAAAACACCTTGAAGTTCAGCTCTGAATTTTATTTACCTTCATTATTTTCTCGGCACCTAGAAGGTATCTGGCATATTTGAATAACGTTACCAATGCCTAGTGAACGGATGAATATATTCTAATACAAAACACTGTAGAGGTAAAGACAGGTCTCATGTTTATGGATTAAATATATATAAAATTCCATTTAAATTTCAATTGTGTAACAAATTCTCATGGGTGTGTAGCAGTTTACATGTTACCCTCCTCCATTTACATTACTAATTACTAACCGTTTCCCTTAGTGTCGGCTGTCATAAGGTGGCAAAAGCAAGCTTACAAGCAAAAGGGAAGGTTATTAATTAAATAATATTGAAATGATTCTATTTTCTATATAGCTCTTGGCAGGTCCTGAAGTGGAACCATGAAAAGGTACCTGCTACTGCAATAACGCCTCAGTTCAAGGACAAGGATAGCACATCTACCTCAGTCTGTTTCCATGAAAGGCATTTCTGCAATCTACAGAACCAAGCTACCCTCTAGCATGGGCCTCCGGGGCTTTACGATGACACGCGCTTTTCTTTATTCCTGTGTACTCTAATGCCTGTCTGCAATCTGCTGAACTGCTTGCTGGTCAGTTACCTTGGCAACTCCACAGTAAAGCCTCTTCACGTCAAACATATAGTATGCCATTTACTCTGAGAAAAACATATACAGATGTGTGACGCGTTCATCATTCAGAAGTGGAAAATGATTAAGCCAGGGTGTTTTGTTTGTGAAAGTAATACTTCCTTTCTGTAGCAACAGTTGAAATGATGAGCGCCCTCACAGCATTTTAGAGAGGTACCCTGTCCCTTACCCTTTCTGGTTTGTTAACTTGCAAAACAAACAGCTCTTCAGCAGAGGCTATTTGGGCAGTGGTTACACCTCACTTCCTTTCGAAAACAACAAGTGACAGAGAATTCGAAGTTATAGGCTCTTATTCTAAACACGAACGCCGTAGGGTCTGCACCAGCACCCACAAAAGCTGTTATTAACTGCTGCACCCTCATCTGTCCAGGTACTACTCACAAACAGTAAGCTCGAAGCACATTGTTTTCCTTAAAAGCTAGTCTTGGAAATCAAGGATGAACACTCAAAGAATCCACAGACTAAAATAAAATAATCTCTGGGATAGATGTGTACAGGACCATGTTAATCAAGCTGAGGTCGCAGGTCGTGGACTCTTTGTGTAGCACATGGCTTTGCAACGGTCTCCAGCTGCAAATCCATTACCTTTGCAAACACATGCCACTGGATACAAATGAAACTGGAAACCACTGTGTGGCTAAATCGGTGCAAATCCATCACCATTAATGGGAAAAACAATTAAACCAAAAGTCCAGCTCACAGGGGGTCCAAAACATCATCTTCAAACGGCAAGAGTAGCTAGATTTGCCAAGATTAAAAACTGAACACGAAAGTCATAAATAACAGATTTTTTTCAAAGGAAAAATGATATATCTGAGTTGAGAAGAGCAAAAGGGTATTCGGGCATGGCTGGAGTAATTGTTTCACCCTCCAATGTAGCTCCAATGTCCCTTGCTACCATGCTAGCAACGTCTTTTCACAAAACTGTTTTCACCATATTCATCCTAAGGTGCAGAAACTGTGGACCATATCAACAATATATATTACATTACAACAGAGAGCCAAGAACCAAATAACAGATGATAATGGCAATCACAATAAAGTGGGACTTCATCCTAGCTCAATAGCATCCTGTCTTCTTTTATTAGTCCATTTGACATTTTTTCCTTATGGGAGCAATATCCTAATGAAAATATGAACGTGTGCTTATTTATAATGACTTAAAAACAAAAGCAAATTTGGATGTATTTAGTACACATTAACTTTTGAAGGGATTCTGGTAGTTCATTGCTAAGGAAACTATATAGCACGTAACTTCACAATTATTACATGATTACTTTTAATGGCATACAGGCACGTACAGAGTCCCTTCTCTACAAAGTCCATAGAACACTTACCTTTTTTTTTCTGTGTCACAAGTACAAGTACACGGCTATAAAGATAAACAGGCTGAGGAGTATAAGACCCGACAAGCCCCAGTTAAATTTAAATCTTAAAGCCATCTCTCCTCTGAAATCTTTGGGAAGAAAGTCATAAAGTCATGTTCATATTCATGTGCAGGTGATCTTTATTAGTAACCTATTATGTGTATCTCTCTTTCATCGATACTTTATCAACAAATTAATCACTTCAAAGGGTCCACTTATATAATCAATTACTAATCTGTGTGGTTTAAGAGAATATTTTTACAATCTTAATGACCAGGAACTCCAGGAAAGAAACTTGTCGGAGGGCTGAGTTTTCCAGCGCACTCAGCGGTCGATCCTCTTTCCTGGTGGGTGAAGACGGTCCTTTGGCACATCAATTATTGCACTCTGTTCTATTATACAGCGACACCCTTATGGACGGTTTGGTTGCTTTGTCATTTACTGATCACACTAGCGCTAGCGGGTCCCAGCCCAGCTAATGCTTTTGAAAGGCTGTGTGTTTTATAGATTTTCTGTTTTCTCATGTGAGGACACGTTTGTCAGCTGTCATTTCTCATTGCATCAGTATGTTTCCTATATCAGCTTCTCTAGCCCCTCTAATTTGCCACTATTTATCTGCTGCAGTTTAGAAAGCAGACTTCCAAATGAGGTGGGCTTGCGTGTTCAGGTAGGAATACATCTGTAACTGCCTCAGCACACGTTCTTGCTAGATGTGAAAAACAGGAGCCTGCATTTGCAGCATCTATTGTGGCATATATCCCGGTTCTTAGTGGATGCAGTAGACTTCTGAATAGATGATGTTACTGCCATCGGGATATAGGCATTACTTGCGGAGATGGCAGCGTAAACTCCATATATTAAATGCATTCAGAAGTAAGCATACCTAGAAAGTCTTAATTCAATCCATCTGTTCTGTAAACATGAACTGTCAAATCAGAGTGAATGAATTTAATGCATTGCATATGTAATAATTTCTTACATATTTGATGTGTGG